TCTGACCTGGCAGAGTGCTGCGGGTCCCCTTAGGACTTGTCTCATGGTCTTGGGGTGTTGGGGGCCCGAGAGAAGAGACCACGGTGGAGCACTAGGCTGTGACCGCATGTGCCTGCCCTCCCGGCCAAGGAAGCAGCTGTCGGGGAGTCTGGTGTGCTGCACACACGGCCTCGGCCCAGAGGCCTGCTGCCCGGGAAGCCGTCAGGGACTAACCGGCCGTCACCCCGACCAGTCGGGCTGGGAGGCTGTCGGGCCTGTGTGTGGGGGCGGAGGTCTCAGAGCGCCGTTGACCTGTCTTCTCTCCCTGGCAGGGCGCCATCCTGACCACCATGCTGGCCACCAGGAACTTCTCAGGTGCGTGGGGAGGACCTGGTCCTCGTCGTCTGTTATCCTTTCCAGCTGTCTCTCTGCAATCGAAAAGTAATAATAATGAGGAACACGCTGTTGTTTGGGGATGGCGATGTGTCGTGGACTCGACCCCACGGGCCACAGGCTCCCCGCACGGTGGTGTGTCGGGGTTCCGGCAGGTGAGCCCCCCCAAAGGGTGCAGCCACCCAACCACCCAGCAGCCTGTGCAGACACAAGCCCCGCTGCCGACCCTGCCTGTGTGGCTGTCGTCCTGGCTCAGCACCTGCACCTCGGATTTGTCAGCTGACGTTCCATAAAGTTCACAGCAATGAGTGTCTCATTCCATCGGGAATCCCAATAAGCGAGATTTTAAAAGACCACGATTGAGGAGCCGGCTCTCTAGGCTGCCTCCTCCCGAAAGCAGTGTCCCTGGGTGCAGGGGAGCCCGCTGGTGGGTGTCGGCTCAGTAGGTAGGTAGGTGGGTCCCTGGGTGCAGGGGAGCCCGCTGGTGGGTGTCGGCTCAGTAGGTAGGTGGGTTCCTGGGTGCAGGTGGAGCCCGCTGGTGGGTGTCGGCTCAGTAGGTACGTAGGTGGGTTCCTGGGTGCAGGGGAGCCCGCTGGTGGGTGTCAGCTCAGTAGGTAGGTGGGTCCCTGGGTGCAGGGGAGCCTGCTGGTGGGTGTCGGCTCAGTAGGTAGGTGGGTCCCTGGGTGCAAGTGGAGCCCGCTGGTGGGTGTCAGCTCAGTAGGTAGGTAGATGGGTCCCTGGGTGCAGGTGGAGCCCGCTGGTGGGTGTCGGCTCAGTAGGTACGTAGGTGGGTCCCTGGGTGCAGGGGAGCCCGCTGGTGGGTGTCGGCTCAGTAGGTAGGTAGGTGGGTTCCTGGGTGCAGGTGGAGCCCGCTGGTGGGTGTCGGCTCAGTAGGTAGGTAGATGGGTCCCTGGGTGCAGGTGGAGCCCGCTGGTGGGTGTCAGCTGCCCACAGGATCCTTGCAGGATGGGGCGGCCTCAGTGAGCCCGTGGGCACCGGGAGAGTAAGTGAGGGGCTGAGCCTCGGTGCAGAGTGGGTACAGTGTTTGTTGTCTGCAGAAATGCTTGCATTTTGGGGCCCCTTCTTGACAGATTATCTCAAAAGACCTAGTTGCCACGTCAACTTCTGGCACCTGCTGGTCAGCCTGAAGTACAGGAGGCCGGCAGAGCAAGGGAGCTGCTCTTGGTCAATCTCCTGTTTGGCCTTTGACCCTTGGAACCGCTGTCAAATGACCGTCAGAAACAGAACCAGGAGAGGGTCTGCGGTGTCAGCGGGACTCTCGGGGTCTCGTCCTCTCGTCCGCTCGGCGTGGCCTGGCACCGCGGGGACAGGGTGTCCCGCTGTGTGTCGGCAGGAAACCCGCGGCTCCCCAGCTGCCCCTGTGGTCGGCGGCGGCGGTGAGAGCACCAGGAGCTCGGGCCTGGGGTCAGCCGTTTGGGGCGAGCTCAGTTCCTCTCGTTCAACATCACCTAGCGTCACTGTTCAAGTCCATTCATGCGGTGTCGCGCTGGGGCCCGATGCTGGGTGAGTCGCTCGGCGATAGGGGTCCATGCAGTCTGTGAATGGCAGACCCGCTCGAGGAAGCGTTCAGAACAGGCTGTGTGTTTTGTTAAAGCCTCAGCGCGTTCTGGGCCCCAATCGGGCCTTTGACAATGCCCGCGCCCTGCAGCCCCCTCTGGCCCGCGGGCCTCTTCTGCCCCCTCGTCCCTGGCCCTGGGCGCGTGGCCAGGTGCAGGTGCTGTCCTTCCTGATGCTGCATGGGATGCAGGCTCTGCTCCTCACTTCAGAGCCGCTGGTAACCGGAGCCCCGCGGGTCCCAGCGCGGCGGGCGCTGTGCCCATTCTGAGTACTTTCTCCTGTCTGGTCGCCCAGCTGCCCTGTAAAGCACAGCGGGTTGCAGAGCTGCTTTCGTGTTTCCTTCTCTCCCTCACGTGGGAGGTGCTCCTGTGAGGCGAGTGCACAGACCCCGGTCCTTTCCACCGGTCCTGGCCCAGCCCGTCCCCGTCCTCTCTCTGCCCGCTGGGCCCCCTCTGCCCGCAGCACGTTCCCACCCACACGCTCTCCCACCTGGAGGCGCAGGGTTGCTCTTTAGCTCCAGGCGAGTAGTCTTGTCGCCCAGACAGGCTTTCTCACACTCTCAGTCACTAGTCAGTTAGGAGCCGTGTGGCTACGAACTCAGAAAGTCAGGCTTTGTGTCTTAAGTTGAAAATGATGCCGAAGAACAAAGTGCCATCCCAAGGAAAAGAGATGGCGGGGAGTCGGGTGTGCATGCAGTTCTGGGGCCGCCCCGGCGCTCCTCCCGGCACCAAGTTCTCGGCCACGCTCTGACCGACCCCGTGCCGGCGCTGTGTCCCACCGTCCTGTCGTCTGCCACCGGCGCCACTCGTTGCTGCGTGGTGTGTCCCAGTGCCCATTGTCAGTGCCGAGGCTCAGCACCTGGGGGGATGCTGCACCCCCGCAAGGGCGACCTCGCTGTGGCCCGTGAGCTCCGTCCCCGGGACCTCGCTGTGGCCCGTGAGCTCCGTCCCCGGGACCTCGCTGTGGCCCGTGAGCTCCGTCCCCGGGACCTCGCTGTGGGCCTGTCCCCGGGACCTCGCTGTGGCCCGTGAGCTCCGTCCCCGGGACCTCGCTGTGGGCCTGTCCCCGGGACCTCGCTGTGGGCCTGTCCCCGGGACCTCGCTGTGGCCCGTGAGCTCCGTCCTCGGGACCTCGCTGTGGGCCTGTCCCCGGGACCTCGCTGTGGCCCGTGAGCTCCGTCCCCGGGACCTCGCTGTGGCCCGTGAGCTCCGTCCCCGGGACCTCGCTGTGGGCAGTGAGCTCCGTCCCCGGGACCTCGCTGTGGCCCGTGAGCTCCGTCCCCGGGACCTCGCTGTGGCCCGTGAGCTCCGTCCCCGGGACCTCGCTGTGGGCAGTGAGCTCCGTCCCCGGGACCTCGCTGTGGCCCGTGAGCTCCGTCCCCGGGACCTCGCTGTGGCCCGTGAGCTCCGTCCCCGGGACCTCGCTGTGGCCCGTGAGCTCCGTCCCCGGGACCTCGCTGTGGGCAGTGAGCTCCGTCCCCGGGACCTCGCTGTGGGCAGTGAGCTCCGTCCCCGGGACCTCGCTGTGGGCCGTGAGCTCCGTCCCCGGGACCTCGCTGTGGCCCGCGTCCCCGGGACCTCGCTGTGGCCCGTGAGCTCCGTCCCCGGGACCTCGCTGTGGGCCGTGAGCTCCGTCCCCGGGACCTCGCTGTGGGCCGTGAGCTCCGTCCCCGGGACCTCGCTGTGGGCCCGCGTCCCCAGGACCTCGCTGTGGGCCGTGAGCTCCGTCCCCGGGACCTCGCTGTGGGCCGTGAGCTCCGTCCCCGGGACCTCGCTGTGGGCAGTGAGCTCCGTCCCCGGGACCTCGCTGTGGGCCGTGAGCTCCGTCCCCGGGACCTCGCTGTGGGCCGTGAGCTCCGTCCCCGGGACCTCGCTGTGGGCCGTGAGCTCCGTCCCCGGGACCTTGCTGTGGCCCGCGTCCCCGGGAGCTCTCGTTTCCTTGATTATTTCATTTTCTTTCGTGTCTGACCTCAGACTCTGTGATTTTTAATTTTCCGGTGTGAACGGCTTTTGATTTTGAAGTCTTGTTCTGATTTTGAAGTAGAGAAGAATACATAATTTCTCTTCTAACACGTATATGCTAAGGGTTTAAAGTAGGTCAATAATATACCATTTTATTTTAAGTACAGTTATTAATATTTTTGTAAAAGTGAAATCTGATTTCAAAGATACATATTTTTAAAAAGACGTTATTTCGCCAGAGAATATTTTCCCCAGCGAGTTTGAGCCTGTGGAGCAGGACTCAGGCGAGGGCTGGCATGACATGAACACTGCGCAGGTGGAGCCCGCTGGTGGGTGTCGGCTCAGTAGGTAGGCGGCGACAGGCCCGAGGCCTCCAGCCGGCAGGGACGGGTCCAGTGGCAGGACTGGGCATGTGTTCGCTTCTGTGCCGTGAGCTCTGAAGCAACTTGGAACCAGACCGTGTGTCTGTCCCAGGAGCTGGGCTCACGGCCTCATGGCTGGGTGTGCGGCGTGGCTCCACGGTGCCGGAGACAGCGACCGTCTCGGCGCTGGGCCGGGCTGGGCCCGTGCAGGACTGGCTAACACGGTCTCTCTCATTTTGCAGCGGCCAAGAGTCTGCTGAAGAAGCCGGACGGAGTGAAGGTGAGTCACTGCTGCCGCCTGGGTGCCCCCTGCAGCGCCCGTCTCCTCTTGTTGGTTTGGTTCCTGAGCAGAGCCAGGCTGCCGGTAACGTGATGTCACACACAGCCTGTAATGTGATGTCACACACAGCCTGTAACGTGATGTTACACAGCCGGTAACGTGATGTCACACACAGCCTGTAACGTGATGTCACACACAGCGTGACTGGCATTCGTGCCGTAGGAGCTGCTCTGGAGCGTTGAATTCCTCTCTGGTTTCTACATTTCCAATCGTCGTGGTGACCTGACCTTTCCCAGTGTCTGTGCTGGGTTCCTGGAGGCTGCGGAGTGGGCGGCCTGTGGCCCTGGGCGCCAAGTGCTACCTCTAGGCGTCTGCCAGGCCCTCCCCGGGAGGCCGCGGTCCTTGTGCTGCCGTGCCGCCCAGAGGAGCTCCCGGGACATTCGGGGCAGATGTTAGGAGGTCATGGCCACGTTCTCGGTTCCTAAACAAAACCCCACCACTGACTCCACTGATGCCGTTTGCTTCGCGGGACCCTCCTTTGCTGTGACCGTGTTGCTCCTTCCAGTGTCATCTGACGTCTCCCACTCCTCCTGCGGCAGACGCCGAGTTCTTCGCCAGCACGGCAGCGTTCGCGGGAACTCGTTACTGTCCTACTGTGTGACCTTGACCCAAAGTCGGTGGTCAGTCATTTGAGGCCTAAGTGGAAAACGGCCAGTCTCTGAGCCGGGGCGGCCACCCCGCTGCCCAGGAGCACAGCCTCCTCTGCTCACGGCTCATGCTCCCCTCCGCTGCAGGTCACGGTGGGCGTCGGCCTTCCCTGTCGGCACGTCTCCCGCATGGTTTACTCTCCGCACTTCCCTGTAAGGTCGGAGACGCAGCGCTCACGGCTCCTCCTCAGGCCTGCGTGAGGCTGCGCTCCGTGCAGCAACGCGTACCAGCTCCGCGGCCACGGCTCTCTTTCCTTCCTCCCTGGCCGGGCAGTTCCGAGAAGGAGGCCCAGCCTGAGTGTTGGAGGGCAGTGAGGGTAGGACGCAGCCCTGCCCACCAAGGGGGTGCAGGCCCTGCAGGCCCCGCTGGTACCTCTGAAGGGGCCTAGTTAAGTAGCCGCCCCACCTCCTCCACCGGGACAGGGCCCAGCTTCCTCCGAAGCCGAAGGGAGGAGACAGCTGCTGTCTGTTGACTGATCGTAAAAAAGACGGGTTTGTTTTTTTTTTAATATTCTTAGCATGCTTGCTACTTTTCTGGTGTTTCTATGTTTTTGTTGATTTCAGAGAGGAAGGTAGAGGGAGAGAGAGAGAGACATCAATGATGAGAGAATCATGGATCTGCTGCCTCCTGCAAGCCCCTCCTGGGGATTGAGCCCGCCACCCAGGCAAGTGCCCTTGACTGGTAATCAAAGGGCACCCTTCAGTCTGTAGGCCAACGCTCTATCCACTGAGCCACATCGGCCAGGACAAGACTGGGATTATTTTTAAACGACGACTGTGATACTAAAGTAGGGTGACTGCAGAGCAGATCGCTGTAACCCCTTCCACGTATAAAAGGGCTGCGTTTCCCGGCAGCCAGAGCTCCCTCTGCTCGCGGGCACTGCGGCCCCCGCCTGGTGCAGGACCCTCCACAAGGCAGGCCTCCAGCCGGGATGCAGAGATTCTCCTCTTATTCCAATTAGTCAGCATCACACGTCCCTTCAAAGGTCTCTTGTAGTGAAATCCCATCGGCTGATCTACATCAACCGATGCTTTTAAACGCTCGTCGGCACACTGGCCGTGCCTGACCCAGGACGTGAGGTGGGGAGATGGTGTGTGCTCTGTGTGCCCATCTGTGCAGATGCACCCTGTGCAGGGGTGTGCGTGGGGGACATTTCACCAAAATGAACCGGTTCTGGGCTCCCACATGCACGGAGCCCTCTGTCTGGGGAAGGCAGAGGTGCTGTGTGGCCGGCACGGCTCCCAGGAGCGGCCCTGCGGGGGGGGGCGCCTCCCCTTTGCTGTGCGTTCTGTGCGCTGTCTTCAATGGGCCATTTTCTCTGGCCTCTTTCTGGACGTTGCACAACGTTCATGGTGAATTCCGTGCCCTTCCAACGAAAGAAGGTTCCAGCGAACTATCTGCCAAAGACAGCCCGACGTCTCGCGCTTCTCCAGCGAGGCCCGCCCCACTCCCCCGTGTTCCCCGCGGGTCCCACCGCCCGCTGGGCACGCAGGTGTGGCGGGCAGACACGTGCGGACCTGGTCCCTGTTGAACCCCATCTTCCTCGGCACTGGATGCGGCGTGAACTCTGAGTAACATAGCAGAGCGGGTCCCCGGGACCCACACACTGACTGGGTGTGACTGTTCGTAGCTGCTCTTTGGCATCGCCTCTCTGCAGCGTGTGCTTGTCTTCACGCCTCACGTGCGTCTGTACTGCACTTGTGGGATGTGCTCCTTAGGTAATAGCGTGAAGACAGTGCGCAGAGAACGTCATGCGAGGAAATGAGCTGATTCTGTGGGCCAATGGCCATACTGAGATGTCAGGTGTGAGTTTAGGTAACGCATTTAGATGATTGCGACCTTAGTCTGTGCCCATTTAGGGCCAAGCTCAGCTGCAGCCTCACGTGGCCGCTGTCTGCAGGCCTCCCTGGCGGCTGCAGCCATGAGGGTCGCGCTCAGTGCCTCCCGTGGGGACAGCGACCTCTGCAGGTGGGCGCGGAGGGAGCAGGCCCGCTGGTCCCAGGGAGTCAGTCGCTGTAGCAGCAGCAGCAGCGGTCTCTCCTCCGCTGTGAAGAGGGAGGGGCGTTGCAGTCGGAAGAGCTCAGGTGCCCATTGGTGATGGAGGAGACCAGGCTTCTCATGATAGAAACGTGTGGTGAAGCCGGGTCTCATCAGAAGAGGAGTTTTATTGGAGCAAAGGGATGGGGCTCAGGACGGTGGTCTGTGGCGAGCTGGGCCCCAGAGTGAGTGAACCGAGTGTGTTCCCCACAGGGCATCCGCGCGGAGCCAGCAGCAGGGCCGCTCAGAGAGCATGGACGGCACTCACCTGCGCCTGCTCTGTGTCCGCCACGGGCACAGCCAGAGCAGCAGGTCCTGGGCGCCCTCCAGGTCTGGGCCCAGCCTGCGGGGACCGTCAGGGACAAGGCTGGCTCCTGTCCGGGGGCACCAGCGTCTCACGCTGAGGAACGCCCTTTATTCCCGTGTCGTGTCTCCACGTAGACACGCGGCAGGGAGCGTGTCTGCTCCCAGGCTCTAAGGTGTGTCTCTCTTTTTCTGCGACCCACAGATAAACAGCAGAGCCAACGTGGTAACTAGCCCCAAAGAGAACGCCCCTGCCCCGGCGCTGGTACAGCGACTCCCGCGTGCTCACTGCCCTGCCATGCTCTCGTGTGCCGTGTGCAGACGTGTACACACGTGTTGTTGGGTTTGGTGTTGGTGTTGGTTTTGCTTTCTGAGATGCGGGCATGTTCATTGTCTCCTTTTCTTTTTGTTAAGGTGGTTGTCAGGCCGCGTGTGGCTAACATGACGCCTTCATCCCACGTCTGAGCGTGGCCGCTGTGTCTCGCAGGGACATGTGCATGTGCCCACAGGGGCAGGAGAATGCGCTTTGCTGCTCGCAGCGTGGCTGCTGGAGGCTCAGAGGCAGCGCTGGCGCCCACGCAGGGCAGGGCCGCTTGCTGCGGACGGCGGCCTGGCGGCCTCCCCGGCAGACGAAGAGGCGCTGGATTTCCAGTCTGCGCTTTGCCGCTTCACACTGAAAGGCCCCTTTCACTTCAGCCCCGAGAAGGAGCCCGCGGCACAGCACCGGCCTGCCCGTTCCTGCCCCGCAGTCCCCACCCCCCGCAGTGCGAGGTGGACGCTGGAGGTTCGGACACTAGAGTTGAGTGCTGAGCTCCCCGCTGTCCCCGAGCTGTTCCGTGTTTGGGTGGATGGTTTCCAGGAAGGTTCCTGATGTTCACCGTCCTCTGTGCCGCTTTAAATGAGTCCACAGTGGCCGGATGATTCCGCTTCGTTCCCACAGGCTCCACCTCCACTTAAGGACGGACGGTGGAGAGGGCGGTTCCCTCCCCGGCCTCAGTGCACGCGATGGTCCCGCAGGGCGAGGGCGGCCACGGGCTCTGAGGCTCCCTGCAGCCCGGCCGGGAGGGCGCACATGGCAGGGACTCCCACTGACCAGGCGCCGTCCACACGGCGCTGACCAGTCTCCACTTCGGAACGTGTCTCCCATTCTCTGGTCGGAAGCAATAGGAAAGACAATACTATTTAAAAAGGGAAAAAAGTAAAAATAATACTTCCCTTATGGAGAAAGCTGGATTTACAGGGAGCAAGCCTTCTGGGCACATGGTACATGTCGTCCGTAAAGCAGGAAAATTAATGTGTTAATGAGTTAACACAGGACTCAACAGCCATGTGTCTCAGATTCCTGTGACTTTATGGTTAGTTCTAGAACTAACCATAACCCCTGAAGTGAACCTTCGGTGCCCCTTAGGATTCTTCATGGACATTTGAAAATAAGTTCTTTACGATAGTGCTCTAAGCGTAGTCCCATGGAGATTGTCCAAGGGTATTTATTTGTGTATTAATTATAGTGTCAGCACCATAGTCCTGAAACACTGCAGGTGAAAATGCCTTCAGAGAGATTGTCCGTCCTCAGAGTCCTGGCGGCCGCCGCGGTTGGCCAGCGCGGGGCAGACGTGGGCAGGCCTCGTGCCGGGGAGCGCCTGGGGCGGGGCCGGAACAGTGGCTGCCTCTGAGGTCTCCCGCGGCAGAGCCGGTCTGTGTGCCGACTCATCAGGCCTTTGCACGCTACTGCCGGGCAGGGCCCAGGCCCCCAGGCCTCCCTCCAGCCCTGCCTCGCAGCCCTGAGCCGCTCCATCGCTTCCGCTGCCCGGGGTCTGCGGGCTGCTCACGCTCTCCCCACCGCCGGAGTGTACTTACCATGCGAACTGCTCTCTCTCCATTTTGCTCTCACTCAGGAACCCCAAACCACTGTGATCCACAGCCCTGACGGAAACAAGGTACGCAGAGGGGGCAGCCTCTCGCTCCCGTCACACCCTCCTCCGCACAAAGTGACTTAGCTGCCGGAATGGGGGGAGCCTGCCCGCTCCCACCGCGCTCCCCGTGCCTGACGACCCAGCTGCACCCTCTCTCAGAACAGGCAGAGAATGACACCCTGAGAGACGCGGGGCCGTTAAGTCACTAAATGTCGACAGAGCGTCCTTCTGTCCAGACGACTGTGTCCTGTCCCCCCGCCCCCCCATTGCACTGACCTGTCTGCATGAAGTTAGGGTTTCTTGCTGTGTCGTTCCTGTCTTTGGAGCGCGGGTTCTTAGGCACTTGTTCGGGTGTAATGTTGCTTTGAGTTCATTTGCTCTGTTGTTACAGTGGTTTTTCCTTGAATTCCCGGTTGGTGGTGTTTTTGTGGTTTGGCATGAATTTGCAGAGAATCAGGGAGTTCACTTGGGAAACGTGTTTTTGTGGAATGACATGCGTGTCAGCAGCAGGCGTGTGACTGGTTGTGCTGAGAGGAGCCTGGCGTGTCCGTCCGCAGTGACCTGTCCGCACGGCGTCCTCCCTGCTTGTGAGCCGTGTGCACGCCTGGGGAGGGAGACGGTCTGAGCAGGCGCTGGGCCAGCTGCGTCCTCACGCACGGTTGTGGCTGCGGAGGGAGGAACCCGTCCTCCCACTTCCACAGGCGAGGCCTGGTCTGTCTGCTCACTGTGAGCAGCGACGGTGACGTCAGAACACACTTTCTCTGGTTTAACATCGAGTGGGTCAGTGTTGAAGTCATTAAAGACCATCATGTGCCTCCTTCTCTGTGATGAGGCGTATTTGTAGTCATGACACCGAGATGGTCTAAGGCAGCCGTTTCCCTCCCACAGCACCCACACTGGCTACTCACTCTGCGCGCAGTGTTCGGTTCACTCACACCGACGCCAGTGTTGTCATTTTTCTGTTTCACAGTCTAAAGGCTGAACAGTCAGGTGTTGCATGTTTTCAACATCCTTGCGGCGCGCGGGTGGGAAATCGCTGCCCTCGGTCCCTCACACCTGGAGCCCCGAGGAGTGTCCCACGCGAGCCCGAGGTTCCCAGGGCCGCCAGCCGGCAAGGCCAGCGCACGCCGGGGCCTCTCGGTGGCTCTGCGGTGGCTGCTGCCTGGCTGCCTGGCTCTGTGGACGTCTGTGCGCAGGTGCCTGCACCTCCTCGAGAGCGGAAGGTGAGCCAGGGCAGGCCGAGGCCGGAGGACCCTGCTCTGGGCGGATGGAGACCCTGCACACACACTGATGGGTCTGTCCCTTTGGTCACATACTCGCTGTGACCGTCATATGCGTGGATCACTTGTTTGAATATTGAATCTCTAAGGGATGCTGGCTGGTGTTGGCACCATTTTGCAAAAGCCGTTCTTCGTCCCTGAGCACACAGCTGCTGAGTGGAGGTTTGTGTCCAGTGGTGGTGTTTCTGGCCTTTGGTCATTTGAAGTGGAAGGTTGTGTCAGGAATGTGAGTACGTTTCTTCGCTAGAAACTGCATTGACCGATCGTGTGTCGGATGCTGTGCGGAGCGGCCTCGGGCAGTCAGGCCTCGGGTGCTTCCCGGCTCGGCGGCACGGGGCTCACAGAGCAGCTCTGTCTGTCGTTGTCATGGCAGCAGTGCCGCCTCGGACGTGAGAGAGAACCTCGCTGTCCTGAGTCAGTGACGCGCTGGCTGCACGGAGCTGCCCACGCGGACGCTCCTGGAAGCACGACCACATCCCCCTGCCTCCTCCCCTCCTGGGGCCGGAGAGGCTCGCTCTCCGCAGGGGCTGAGACCCGCAGGCTGCCAGGTGTGCGTCTGTGCTCGTGGACCCCCCTCGGCCAGAGCAGGGGCTGCCCCCGGATGCTAGATGGAGAATAAGAATGGTTCTGTCGTTGGTTCCTGCTCGTTAGGCTAATAGAGCCAGTTTCTCACAGACACAGAGAACCTGGGAGACCGGGACCCAGACGCGTCCTCAGTTCTGAGAGGCACGGCCTTAGGCTCGAGGTGAGGCCATGGGGGCGCCTTCCCCAGCGTGGGCAGCGTTTGGCATTTCATTCTGTTCCCGCATAGGGTGTCTGTCCATTTGCATGTCCGATGTGCACACGCCTGCTGCGGGTTTGCATGACGTGAGCAGCACTCACCAGTTTCCGGGAAGAAAAGGAGCGGCTGTTCATTGTCTGCAACGTGTGTTTCCTCCACAGGAGTCCACGGAGAGCTCCAACACCACCATCGAGGACGAAGACGTGAAAGGTACGCGGAGGCGGGCGTGGGCGGCCCAACTCCCAGCCCCTGTGTCTGCAAACACGTCCGTTTCCAATAACTGATGCTCTTAGGAACGGCCTGTCCAGAGACACAGAAACGGTTTCCTCTGTGTGAGCTTTATCGGAGTTCTGTTACCTGCACGGGTTCTGTCAGGCCTCCCACCTCTGTTCTCCTCTGTGTTTTAAACTGTAGACGACAGGGGGATATTCAAGCACATGGCGGTGACGCTCAGCGAGTAGTGACAGTTTAGAAACGCAATACCAAGCGGTGGCTGGACTGGTCGGAGGGAAGCATACGGCGTGCATGTGCTGTGTGCACTCGTGACCCCCAGGAGACAATGTCCAGACAAGAAGGGGTCTGACAGTGACTCGGTGCTGTTGAGTGGACGTCGGTGGAACTTGCATCTGGTGGCTTCTCATTCGGGGCCCCGTCCTTCCCGACATGGTCTTGACCCCGCAGGGCAGCTGCCCAGGTCCCTGAGCCGAGCAGGTGTCTTCGCCACACCTTGCGCCATCGCACGCACGCGCACACAGAATCGCCTGCCACGCGCCTGCGCTCTGGCCCGTGGCTGCCTTGAGGCCCTGGGTCCCTGGTTGGCATCTGTTCTCGTTTTGTAATTCAGTTTACGTAACTGCAGGTCCCACAGGCCAGTGCCTGCACGCGGGTCCCAGGCACCGTGGGAGCAGCGGGACGTCCGGCAGAAGTGTGACAGGAAGATGTAAACTGGGAGTAGGCACCACGGGTTCACCTTCCCGGGAGGTCACTCCCCATGGTGCACCAGGGGCTGGGGTTCCAGAGGGGGCGTCACTGAGACATCCAGGTGGCCTCCCCTCGGAGAGGCTCCCGCTGCAGCCCTTCCGTTTGCTTGGGAGCCGTGGAGGTAGAAGGAGTGAAAGTGAGTCTCAGCCCTGGGCCTTTGCAGTCCGTTCTCCAGGCTACAGGTCTCACCGCCAGACCCGGGTCCCGGGGACCAAGGTGTCGCAGGAAGCAGAGGGCATGGCTGAGGGAGGGCGCTCCACGGAGGGCCCCCTAGAAGTGAGAGGTTTTACCGTTTGCACCCGGAGCAGCGGTATCTCCGTTGTCCGTCCCACGCAGCCCACGTCCTGTGGGGCCTGCAGCTGCGCCATGCAGACAGCAGTCACACTTCCTGCCCATGAGCAAGTCCGGAAGAGACGAGACGCTGCTGCGTGAGAATGACCGTGGTTTCTGACTGGTGTCCAGGTCATTCTGCAACAAGGAGTAACGTGCAGTCCATTCAGACAGTCTCTGTGAGCCATTCTAGAAGGTTCCCGAGGTGCTCAGGACACGGAATTCCTAACAGAGACACCGTGTGAGACACTGGGTGCATTCAGGTTTTAGAGACGACCGTGGAGCACCTACTGTGTGCGGGGTGTGGAGCAGCGGGAGAGTAGAAGGCGTTGGTTTCCAGGCCTTACGGTTAAGTGGAGTGTTAACGTCACTAAGCCGCCTCCAGGGGCCAAAGTAATGGCCATGACGCTCCATGTTAACTAGCAGGTCGGCTTGCGAGGGGTCAGGCCGCTAAGAAGCAGCCGCTAGTTGGCGGGAAACTCCCCGCAAGGCTCCTGTTAAAGCACCAGAGCGTGAGGACGGCCTGAGAGGTGCCCGTCCCGGGAGTTGCTTCTGCTGACGGCCAGGAAGACCGTGAGGCCACGGGCACCGCTCCGGGCGTCGTGTAGCCATTGGTCAGTCCTGGCGCAGCCATTCCGTGTCAGTCACCGCGCTTGGCGAGTTCAGAGGCATTTTAGGTGCTTCATTTAAGTTTACGATTTCAAAATAGTGAGCTGGGCACCAGGGGCTGGAGAGGAGCCGAGGAGTGACTGGGCGGCAGGCGCCTCGAGCCACGTAAAGCTCTGCCCAGGCCCAGCCTCTGGTGCCCCAGCCTCGCAGCCCCACCCGGGCTCTGAGATGGAGGGGAGGGCGGCCTTAGGCAGAGCTCCGTGTGGGCGACAGCGACACACACAACTGCCAGCTAATGATGCACCGCAGACGGGCGGCAGCGCACCGTGCGCTTCCCACGGAACAGGCCCCCTTCACACACAGCTCGCTGTTCAGTGAGACACCTGCCACTGTGGCATGAGGGTCCGCCCCAGGCGTGAGGCCGGTTCATTCCTGGCCAAGCTCATCGCAGACCAGCTGGCTCCTGCGTCAGGCGCACTAGCCAAGCTCACTCCACGGACCGGCGGCTCCAGAGCCCGGTGCAGCCTCGGAACACCTGGGCCTTTCTCTGCCCCCCACGCCCTTGAAAAGGACTGACTCACCACGCGGTTTCTCTCGCTGCGCCTGTGCCGGCGCCTCGCTGGGCCCCCGCGCACAGACCCTGTGGCCTCATGTATGGTGGTCCTGCTGACCTGAGGCTGCGACGGCCGCAGGTGACTCTAGGGCGGCCTGGCCACCCCCAGACCACACGGTGGCATCGCTGTGTGCTGGCACGTGGAGTCCTCAGAGGTCCCCGTGTCCATAGATGGAGTCTCTGCCGGCTGTTAGCCGTGCACAGGCGTGACAGGCGCTCCGTCCTGGGTGGGAGGTAGGCTGTGGGCCAGGTCCGGTCAGACCTGTGAACACCTGTGGTTAAACCAGGACCTTGGAGGCTGACAGCGTCCTAACAAAGGGCTCGTAGCCACGTGCTGGCCAGAGAGGATGGTCCTGGGCGCCCAGCTTGACCCGCCAGCAGCAGGCGGTGGGAGCTGGTCCGTCCTGGCCTGCTGTGCTGGCGCGTTCCCGTGTGGGTTGGGGGACAGCTGGAAGCTGTGTGGGAGAGCTCCCAGGGTCCCTGGGAAATGGGGGGGGGGGGGTCTGGGACGTGCAGTCCGCAGGAAGGGGAGCTTGCTGACCTGGAGGGGTGGTGACGCCTGCAGTCGGGTGTGAGCAGGAGGCGCGGGAGCCTTGTGGCCGGTTCCTCGTGGATAATCACCAGGTAGCGCCTGGAGGTGGCTGCTCCCGCCAGGGTCCGAGGGAGGCCACAGGGGTCAGTGTGGGACAGCTCAGGCTTGTCTGTCACCGGGGACTGTGAGGTCAGGGGGCGTGAGGGGTCGCAGCCAGGACACAGGGCGGGCGGGGCAGGGAGCCTGGGGGGCCCCAAGGGTGAAGCCTATGTGGAGGAGGAGCCTGGCCTTGGGGCCATGGTGGTCGAGCCGCTGCTCCAGCAAAGGTTCTGCAGCCCTGAGGATGGGGAGGAGGGTGAGGATGGGGGAGGACGGTGAGGACGGGGAGGTCCGGGGTTCCAGGGCGACAGAGGGCGGCGGCCGTCAGGGTACAGCAGGGCCAGAGCCGACTCAGCACAGGGGTCACTCCGCATGGGTCGGGTGGTGACAGGGAAGGGGTCCCGAGGCCACAGCTGCGATGGGAGTGAGCGCACGGCGGCCTCAGAGGACCGACGCCGGGTGAGCAGGAGAGAGTCCCAGGTGGGTTCCAGCCCAGCCGGCTGCTGACCACAGGCAGGTGTGGGCCGGGCAGCAGGTCCTCGTGGGTCTGCCTGGACACCACCCATGGCCATCTGAGCAGCGGCCCCGGGACTGAGCGCGTGGTCAGCTCCCTGAAGGCCCCTCAGTGCGGTGGCTCCGCTGGCACAGAGCAGAGCAGGGGTGCAGTTCCTTTGGTTAAACGCGGGGGTGGGGGGCATAGCGCTGTTAGCACAGAGCGTGGGGCTCAGGCTGAGGGTCGGCCTGTGAACCGGGAGGTCAGGGTTCGATCCCCAGTCAGGGCACAGGCCCGGGTTGCAGGCTTGATCCCCTGTGTGGGACGTGCAGGAGGCAGCCAGTCAATGATTCTCATCATTGATGTTTCTCCCCGCCCCTTCCTCTCTCTGAAATAAAAGCATTTTTTAAGGCTAAAAATTGAAATAAACTGTGGTACCAAACTACGTTTATTTTAATAAAAAAGAACAGAGCCAGGGCCTCGGGCGCTGCCCAGCAGCAGCAGGGCATGGCCTCCTGGGGGTGCGCCCTGGATCACAGTGGGGGGGGTGGGGGAGGCCTGAGCGGCACAGCCCTGACCTTGGTCCTGAGTCACCGAGAAGGCCCCATGGACGGGCGGGGAGGAGCCAGGTCGGTGGCGGCCGATGAGCTGTGTGGAAGGGAGGCAGCAGGCTGCCCGGGGGCCTTGTCCCACAGCGTCTGAGAGAGGAAAGGCCGTGTCATGGGGTGGGGGGGTGGGGGTGTTGGTCCTTGTTCTCACCAGCTTGTCCCTTTGCCTTTAGCTCGGAAGCAGGAGATCATCAAGGTCACAGAGCAGCTGATCGAGGCCATCAACAACGGGGACTTCGAGGCGTACACGTGAGTGCGGGCTGCGTGGCGGGCGGGCGTCCTCCGCACCCAGTTCATGGGGTAACCCAGGCTCCCGTGTCAGCAACAGCCTTAGTTCAAGGGATGAAGGACTCACATGCCCAGGAATCAATAGGGGTCAGGGTTTCAGGAGACGGGCTTCTGAAAGGCCTGGGGTTTCTTGGGAGGGGCGGGGGCCGGGGGTAGGGGTGGGGGAGCAGTACTAGTGATCTCCACCCCTACAGGCAAAGACAGGGCAGGAGCACGGAGAGGACACAACACGGGGGCCCACAACTGTCCCTGCAGTTCCTCGGGGGTGCGGGGGAGAGAGGGACTGGG